CCCTTACACGCCATCATACGTCGACGAGGTCACTTCCACGTCCCTACCAAGGCCTCTCGATACTTTCCAGTCATCTGCCATCCTCGCCGTGCACTACAGTCGCCACAAGACCTCAATACAATACATGCCTTCATCGACGACATCAAGCCTCGAACATCTGCTCGACGACGCACCTGCCACTAAGCGCATGCTATCCGTAGCAAAGCTAGTACAAGTAACGCCTATCCGGGCATTGTTGGCTGTCGCATGCGAGTCATGGATCTTCTCCGAGAAAGTCGCTACCGCCCAAGCTTTCGCAGCGTTAAAGACCACGCTCCGCACATGGATCGCACAGCTATGGTCCACGTCCTCGACGGAAAGCGCGCCCGTCAAAGAAGCACTCAAACTCTCCATCGACATCCTCCAACAAGCCGTCTCAGAACAAAGAGATCGCATCCCTCTAGAAATGGGCACAGACATGTCCGTCTTCTTCGCCGCCCTTGTTCTCTGGGCCATCACCGTCGCAGCAACTACCCGCACCAAAGCCGCCCACCAGAAAGCTAGACAACAAACGCGACGACCAAGCAACTCCGAGTCTCCACCGCTATTCTCCCCTACAACATGGGCCTCCGCACCACCAACCTCCTCTTCCACTTCCACCACAACCAGCCAACCCCACTCCCCCATCATCTCCGCCACGCCCGAAAACCCTCTCTTGTCGCACGCGCAAATCATCATCAACACGATCTCTTTCCTCACAGACACCCTCGCAATGTCCGATACCACGGCTTCCACACATCAACATCTTGCCGACCATGCACGCCGCCAGACAGGTTGTATCAGCCTGCTGCTGTGGGTCAAGCTGCGTCTTCGTGGCGTTTCACTTGAAGACCAGAGCGGTGCTGCGGGTGATACGTCGGGCGAGGGGCTGGGTGAGCTGTTGGAGGGTGTTGTGGGGTCTATTGAGACGATTTTGAAGAAGGGGTGGGGGGAGTGGGGGATCTGAAGCAAGAGCTTTCTCTTTCCCCTTCTTTTCTTTTTTCTACTTGGCTTGCGCCTTTGCATCTTGGTCTTTTTTTATCTTTGCATACGCTTCCGTCATGTTACGATATTCGCTCTTCTTACTTCTCCTCCTTCACTTTCTTCTTAGCGCAGCATTTCGGCTTATATGGACAAGAAGGATACGATTTCATCTTTTGTTTACGGCGGATACCCCTGTTTACCTAGTTTTCTCTCACGCACTCATGCTGCATGGCTTGCTTTCCTGCAATATAGACTACATCGTACGCGATGTATCTTCCATGATGACGTTTACATTTCGGCTCATCTTGTCATGCCATCTACGCTTCATGTACGAATACTTCTGCAATTGCATTGTTGTGCCTTATACTATACCCTCTTCTTCTTCTACTATTACAGCTATTACTACTACACAATTCAGCGCCTACAAAGAACATGTACAGTACATCAGCATTGCAATAAAGTTTTCCATACCTGCAAAAGTTTATCATCCACCTCGAAATGCAACATCAGCCTTATCCAGCTACGCACCCCTGCGCCTTTTACCGGTGAAAGATCATCGCAGGAAGCCGTAGGGCGATATCCTTTCCTCCATTTACGCCACCTCGGCGGTACATTGTGTGCTGAATCCTGCAGGAATGCATGAGCTTACGTGCATTTATTTAGGCAACCAACCTCCACCACCAACACGCCATTCCACGTGGAAATCCTCTCAAATATGTCTCGATGCGGAAGACTAATGAGGCTAAATGTACTCTGATAAACACTCAGATCATTTACTTAGCACGCACATCAGACAACTAAGAGACTACAACAACCACAACTTCGATCTCACGCCCACCGCCCCCTAACCCACTCAACCTCCCTCTCCGTCCGCCTCCACCCCCCACTCTCACCCACCCTCCCCTTATCTCGCACATACAGCAATTCATCTCCTCTCCGCTGTACACGTACCTTCTCTTCCTTCTCCTTCCTCTTCTCTCTCAAGAACGCCGCATACTCCGCCTCACGTGTCTTTGCACGGCGGGCGTGCAGGTCCTCGTAGGAGGTTGGTTGGTATGTAGCGTGGTAGTCACTATACCCATACACTTTACTCCGCTCGATCTCGTAAGCAAGACTCCTGTGCGCTACTTCCGCTTCACTATGGCTAGCTGTGTATGCATGGCGGGCAGAACGGGCTGTGAACCATTCAGGGAGGCTAAGACTACGGGTTTCAGACTTGTAGGACGTGTGACGTGAGGGCTCGATGAGGCGTGTGAGGTATGGTTTTGTTGCGTAGGAAGACGTGGTGGAGATGTTCTCGTGGGTGGACAGGGAGCGGCGCGTGGAGCGGGTGTCTTTGGTGTTGAGGAAGAAGGGTGTCATGGTGGGTGGTTGCTGCATGGAGGATCTGTGATCAGTGTTGTTCTGGCTGTGATGGATAGTCATGTGTGTAGACCTGCGTGATATATGATGGACGGCTTGATAAGTTTGTTGGTGGATGTGAGACTCATGGTTTGCTGGTTGGACTGGTGGTGTCTGGGAAGGTCTAGTGATCTGGAGACAATGCGGAGAGAAATGTCTTAGATGGTGTTTAGTGGTTTCTAGACGCTCAGAGACAGTTCTGGTAGTGCGACAGTATTTCGTTGGTTTGACGAGAACGCGGAAACAGTTTAGCATGTAGATGGTTGCATGTGCCGAAATGTAATATGTCTTCCAAAGGTGATGAAGAATGTATGGATATCGCAAAGGTATACTGCCTGATGTCACACACTGACCTCCGTTCTCCTTCCTCATATTACTCATCCCCTACAGCTTCGACCTCCGCTGCAGATACAGCTTGATAGCAACCGCCGCTGTACTTGTTAGCTTGACGAACACGCTTGCCACCACACTCATAGATCACTTACCAACAATAGCCGCCAAACTCTTTACGCCCAACAATCCCATGAACCATGAACCCCATCCAAAAGCCCTGCCCTCGCGATCGAAGTTGGGCTTGATGTCGTTCATGCCGATGAACTTCTTCTGCTTGGCAGCTGTGTATGGGGGGTATCTGACGTCCATGAGACCCTCAATCCACGCTGGTGTTGTAGTAACACTCCTGCGGTGTGTGAAGGTGTCGAAACTGGCTTTGCCCCTGTATGCGCCCTGGCCGCTTGTTCCGACGCCGCCAAAGGGCATGGTAGGAATGGAGCCGTGGAAGAAGCCGTCGTTGAGGGAGGCACCGCCACTGCGTGTTTGTTTCATGATCTGTTCCAGCTCGGCCTTGTTGCCAAAGGCGTAGGTGCCGAGTGGTGTGTCGTGGAGCTCGTTTGCGATCTTGATGGCTTCGTCGAGGTTGGCGACGGGGAGGATGGGGAGGAGGGGGCCGAAAGATTCGCTGGTGACCATGCTGTCGTTCATGTCGCTGATCTGAACGACGGTGGGCTCGATGAAGAGGTCGGATTCGTCCATCGTGCCGCCGAGGACAATCTTGCCGTTGCTGTCGTCAATCATCTTCTTCATACGCTGGAATTGGCGCTCGTTGACTATGCGACCGTAGTCGGGTGACTTTTGAGCACCGTCTGGGTAGAACTCTTTGAGCTGCTTCTTCATCTCCTCGATGAATGCAGGTACCATCTCACGATCAATGAATGTACAGTTGTGACTGAGGCAGACCTGACCAGCGTTCAGTGTCTTTGCCCATAATAGTCTCCTTGCAGCAAGCTTCATGTCTGCATGCTTTGTAACGATAGCGGGGTTCCTGCCTCCCAGCTCCAGTGTCAAGGGTGTGAGGGTCTCGGCTGCTTTCTTCGCGATGATCTTGGCAACCATCTCTCCACCGGTATAGAAGATCTTGTCCCACTTCTGGTCAAGTAGGGCGGTTGTCTCGGGGATGGCACCTTGAATGCACGTGTAGCATTCGGGGTCGAGGGAGTCGCGCATGATCTTCTCGATGGCGACGGCGGCATTGGGGGCGGATTCGGAGGGCTTGACGACGGCAGTGCATCCTGCGGCGATGGCACCGATGAGAGGACCGAGGGTGAGTTGGATGGGGAAGTTGTAGGCTCTGGTCTTATCAGCAGGTGTCTCTCAACGTGCACACGCGACATACCCAATGATCAGCGCAGTGCCCAATGGGTCCTTCTTGATGCGCGGGCGTAGCGGCATGTTGGTCCAGGGAATGTCTGTCGCCTTCTCGTCCTTGGCAAAGCGCGGGACGTTGTTGGCCATCCAGATGCAGTCGTTCATGCACCACGAGATCTCCGTCAGGTACGTCTCGAACGACGGCTTGCCCAGGTCGCGCTTGCACGCCTCCTTGATGAGCTCCTCATTGTCCTTGAAGCCCCAGTAGAGCTTGCGCAGCTGCTGGATGCGGTACTCGAGCGGCTTGGTCTTGTGCGAGAGGAAGCTGGCGCGGACTTTGGCGCATGTCGGCGCGATGTCGTCCATGGGCGTGTGCTCGAAGGGTGCTATTTCCGCCATTTTGAGCTGCGATGGTCGTCCTGGAGGTTCAATGGAGGAAGTCTTGGATAGGCCTGGGGCGTCGAGGTTGATTCGAGAGCTAGGGAGACGCCAATGGCGGGCTATAAGGTCCAGGGCGTCTTGACGGCGTGGTTTCACAGGCACGCAGCTGTGCCTCGGTCCCGTCCAGTTGGTTCAGGAGCGGGGCTTGCTCTAGTACACATTAGTACTAGCGCAAACCTCCCGTGGCCCCATATCCCATGTATTCGTCCGTCGGCCGCTGTACCTCGCCGTGCATCATCCCAATGTCGACCGAATCGACTTTCTTGACAAGTACTCTCGGATCGGCATCCTTGGCAATCATTACGCATCACTCTGCACCCAGACCAATTTTCAAATGCCTTGACAAGGACACGCACTGGTATCTAACACTGTGTATTTTGTTATGTCTGCTGAACTATCCATACCTAGATACTTGGTACACAGATAACATACACAACTGCTGCTCGATGTCCAGCTCACGTCTCCTCAGCAGACTATGCATTCCCCGCGAGTTTGCTTCGATGTGGAAAGCTCTACGAGAAGAACTTTCGCTTTGCGTTGACAGCCCCTCCGGGCAACACGCAGTATTCCCTGTCACCCAGTCCTCGACCCATCCTCAGGCTAGGAGCTAATGGGGCAACTGAGAAGACGCCCTTGATTGCAATGATGCAAGGGCGGCGACGTCTCATACAGTAGTCGCATGCGTACTGTCCCGCTTCGCCTTCAGTCGGCCACTTGCACATCTCGTTCAGTGCTTTCTTGAACAAGCACGTCCATCTGCCTTTTATACCATTTGCCTTGCTGTGTTCCACCTTGTCCATGTCACGATCAAGTAAATCCAGGACACTGAGGGCCTTGAAGATGGTCATATAGGCGTCGGCACGCACAGATGCGTGGATGATGGTGTCGCCGTTATCCGTCTGGGCCTTGATCGAGAAATTGCTCGGCACCTTCTCGTCAGTCATGGTACCGTTCCTGATGCCCATCAGGAATCCTTCGATACGAAAGTTCAAGGGAGACGAAGATGAGGCGCTGTGCTTTGCGAGTGTCTGAGCAGCGACGGCTGGTTGGGACTGCAGTAGTCCGTAATCCGCACCCGTACCATTTCCAGCCGCAAGAGTGCCCAATTTGCGCCGCTTGACGATATCCAAGTATTCGACGACCGTTGGAACGATGAGCTGAGTCTTGATGTCCTGCATAGCATCTTTCTGGAGGTCGGGTATAACCTGCCACATGGCCACCAGGGACGGATCTGCATCTCCAGCAATAACATTGTCAAGCTCAGGTTGTACGAAAGACGACAAGCCCCCGGCATAGCTTCGATCGTCTGGGTGTAAAGGCGTTGGTGCCGAGCGTTTCCCGAGAACAACGCCACGCGAAGCAGATCCTAGAGCGTCATGAGCTGGCTCGTTCTCCAGTGTGTGTCCTGCGTCGGACTGATGTGCTTGAGTATGCATCACACGAACATCCTCCTGCACCCCGCCTTCGAGCCAGTCATCCAAATGTGAAGCTGCTTGTCGCCTCTCCCTAGCTCGCAGAAGCTTCGAGACCTTCCTCTGCGCCTTGTTGGTTTGCTTGATTTGTTGACCCAACTCTTGCACACTCGCCATCGTTATGAGATCTGGGCGAAGGAGCATCGAGCGAGCATGCTCTAAGGGAGTCGCCGTGGTTACTAGTCCCTCATTCTGCAGTCCTTGAGCTACTACATCTTCTAGGAGAAACAGGCCAAGTCGCTTTTTATGACGGAAGTCCCTTGCCCACTTCTTCGACAAGCCGGTCGGCTCGTTGATGCGGTACAAGGCTGTGATGATCATTCGAATGTCCTCAACCTCCGGAAGGTCTCCGAAAACATACCAGTATTCGGTGAAAGTAGAGCGTTGGAAATCCTCTAGATCTTTCGTGGCCTTGATGTTGTCCTCGTCTTGCTTTTCGGTCAGGCGTCTCTCAAGCACGCTATGCGTATGTTCGTAGGGCTTTGCGGGCTCAACATCTTCTTGCTTAATGACTGCGTCCGTTGCCACTTTATGACGGGTGTATTTGGAGGGACCTGAGGTTTCTTCAATCGCTTGCTTTATCGGTGGTTGGGCGTCACGAAGTCGATGTGTAAGCTCGAAAGAACTCGGAGGTGGCTGAGCTACCAGCTGTCGCTTCTTTTCTCGGATTGCGCGCAGTGACGCAACAGTAATCGGTGGTGAGGTGTTTCGTTCCGCCATCCTGCGTGCGTCGTTACCGAGGGTGGCTTTGAGGCGGTGGTATTCCTGTATGGTTGTGTGTGGGAGTTGGGCGAGGTGGTGAAGCTCGTTTGTTTGCCGAGACAACGTGGGATAGCAGCGGTGGAAAGAGCACCCGTGGGCAAACGGGTGGCCTTGCACCTCACAAAAGTGATGCAGTTGCTACAACAGGAATTTTCGTTGGGGTACAGGCAACCACACCTCGTCTGGGAGACTGCCCGCCACTGCTTCTCTGTATACGCCAACTAAAGCATCATGCTGCTGCATGTGAAGGAATCTAGGTATGGGCTCTAGCTTCCGAGATCAACTCACTCACAACATCACTCGTACCATGAAATAGCAGGCTGACAGGATCCGTTCGCTGCTGATCGATTTCCGTCTCTCGATAGTGACAGGCGTACGCCTGGCTCCTTGCCACGACCCCAGTGGGGCACATCAGACCTCACAAAAGCGATGACGTCCAGGCAAGGACCGAGATACACCATTACCGGATGGATCTCAAATGATTCTTTGTCATACCGAGGGATGGGTAGATTACAGACATGAGCATATACCTGGGGCAGGATGGGTGGTTGCTGACGCTGGGCGCCTCCGCGGGAAAGCTCGACGCTAGCCTGTGGACTAGTCCTCTTTAAGCGATACCCCCCTTTCCAAGACGCGTCCGGTCCTAGAACGCGTCTAGCTATGAGTTCATCGCGTTCGATTCTCTCCTTCCCACGTCGCGTTTGCTTGCGAACTATTCTTTCCACAATTGCGGTCTTCGTCCTAAGTCTGTAGCGATGCGCGTCCGATGACGGATAACTGAGATGCGACATTGGAGGCCTGATACGGGTGCAGTGCCTGCGTCTGCTTGCTAAATGATGGCATGCACGGCTTATTTGTTGCTGCATGTCTTTCAAACGCACCCACTGACATTTCAGACGTCAGGCGTTCTTTCCTACTACTCGCGCTTCCTGCATGCAAGATTATAAATGCGCTGCATTACAAAGCGAAACGCGAGTCCAACAGCACCTCATGACATGTAGAAATACCCGAAGGACCTGACGACAACGAACTCCAAGACAACTTATTTGATAGTCCCAAAACTTTTATCCTTGGTTCAAATCTCGAAAAAATGACATCAGCAATCCGCCCAGTTCGTGCTGCGCTCATCGGGCTGTCTTCCTCGGGAAACTCATCGTGGGCCTCGGCAGCCCATCTCCCAGCATTGCTTACCGAGACTGGACGCTCAAAGATCACCATCGCCGCGCTGGCTAACAGCAGCGTTCAGGCTGCAGAGTCCGCCATCCAGAAGTACGGACTTCCGGAGCACACCAAGGCATATGGGTCGCCAGAAGATCTCGCAGCTGACCTTGACATGGACCTCGTCATATGCAACACCCGGGTTGACAAGCACTACGAGACAATCCTTCCCAGCATCAAGGCAGGCAAGGACGTCTATGTCGAATGGCCAATCGCCAGCAACAGGAAGCAAATCGACGAGATCGTCGAAGCGGCCAAGAAGAGTGGATCAAGAGTTGCTGTGGGCTTACAGAGACGATGGACACCACCAGCTGCGAAGCTAAGAGACATATTGGATAGTGGAAACGTTAGACTTGGTAAAGTGCTCAGCTCAGACGTGCGCGCTTTCGGGGGCACAAATGACAGGGAGACGATGCCTACTGGTCTGAAGTATTTCTCTCAAAAGGATATCGGCGGAAATGCTATCGTGATAGGTGTTGGTCATGGCGAGCATTACTTTCCACATTACCAGTCGTTACTAACTCTTAGCAGTGCTTGACATCGTACTCTCAGTTGTAGGCCGACTTGACGCACAGTCCGTTTATTCGAAATCACAGATCCAGCGCCCCAACATCCGCATCCAAGACCCTCAAACCAAGCAAACGGTTGAACAAGTAACCACCGACGTACCCGACTTCCTAGCCGTCCATGGCACAATAGCGCACTCTCTTCTCACGGCCCCAAATGCAACTCTCTCCTTCCTGTTCCGACGCGGTCAGCCATTCCCCGGGACGCCAGCTCTGACATGGACTATCAACTGCGAATATGGCGAGATTCTTATTACATCTGCCACGCGTATGACTTTCCAAATGAGTGAAGGAGATGAGCCGGTCGTGGTACAGGTGCACCATTTCGATACTCAAGAGGTGGAGAATGTAGTCTGGGATTGGAGCGATATGCAGAAGGATGTACCCGTTATTGGACGAGATGTAATGACCAGTCTTTTTGCGTTTGCAGAGGGCAAGGCTGAGGGAGAGGGATGGGTGGGCTTGGAGGATGCAGCGACATATGCACGGATGGTTGATGGGTTCTTAGAAGAGTGGCAGGAGAATCAAATAGGTTAGAAGCGGGGCCCACTTTTTTTCTTGAACGAGTGTGAGCGCGTCTCTCACGTGGAAAACCGCAAAGTGGATCCGGGCTCACCAGGTAATCGCCCAACGATTTCACAACGCGGTCACTCTTTCCTGTTTGTCCCACACACGCGATGGACGACACCGGATCTCAGCCGCCCCCAGTGCCAGAGATGACGCCCTCGAATGCGCGTACGATAGCCAAGGACCTACCAGTCAACTTGACCTCACTCGACCAAGCGCTTCGGCCATTTCGCCACTCATATACCCACACAAATCTAATTCTCGCGCTATTCCATGCGGTTCTCCAGGGCGTTTATGATTGTCACAAGAAGTATCCGGATGGGCTGCCACCAACAGCCCACCAGGAGCACATCCATGATCTTTGGCATCGCGCGTCACGGGCATTTCGCGATCCTCATTCGTCCTGGTATGACGACCCGGAGTCACTGCAAGTGGCGCAAATGATGGCCAAGCAAGACCCAGTCCACATCTGGTTCGACGTCGACTCGCATGTTCGACAAGATATCTTCGGTGGCAATCCATCCGACATTGCGATAGATCTCGGGCGAGGGTACACCAAAATCAAAAGAGGAGTGAAGTGGCTGGTAGACTGCGCCACTCTCAGTTTGTCCGAAGAGCCCCTGTGGTCGAAGGAGAAAGATACCGCGACAGCAAATTTGGCAGCCGTCGCAACCTGCGCGCCGGTCTATGGTCTAGCGGAGTCGAGTTCTGATCTCGCTCATTCCCACGAACTCTTCGGTCCTGGAGGCGTACTGTGGTCGGTAATGGAGGTCTTTACTCGCGAACCGGATCACTCCAGCGGTATCGTGGGTATATTGGACATGGTCATTCAGCAGACTTTGAACGTTGCCCTCCTTTTCAGATACTCACTTCAGCACGATGATCGTTTGAGCCATCAGCAACCGGCTTACAAGTGGTATGCAAGGGGCCTAGAGGAAGCGCGGACGAAGTACATCTACTCTGTGGAATGCCAAGATCCCCAAGCACTGATGCCATATCATGTTCGAAATGGCCTGAAGAACATCCACTTCATTGAGCTTTGGGACGCTATATGGGAGAAGGCATACGATCTGAGTCGTACTTTCACGTCCGATCCACTAGTTCTGGAAATCTACATGTTTCTCTGGACTGTGCAACAGATGCGGCTTCCATACTCCGATCCTAGACCCTGGATACCGGGTGCCAACGTGGCTCTTATCGTCGAAAAGCGGTGTAAGGAGTATGAGATAAACATCGACGGCGTTCTGAACATCGCGCCAGATGACATCTATAACTTCGATACACCTCCAAACGACTTCCATATATCAAAGTTCTCCAACCAAATAGACGTGGAAGCTATACTGCGCAGCCGAGGACCGCGATTTTCGTCCACAGCACGGGGTCATCGCTTTTATGAGGGGTACGACGATTCCGACGTAGCCGATACAGACGATGATGAAGACGAAAACCTGGATCTCGCCTTCGATGATACCGCCGACGTCGAACCTTACGGCCCTCCTCTCGATCTCATTGATCTTGCGGCTACCATAACAACAGTTCCCGAGGACCAATACTGTACAGTCTGCATGGAAAATCATTCCCACAGTACCAGCGATGGGGGGACTATGAAGCTCAATTCGTGCGGACATCTGTTCCACTACAAGTGCATGTACGAATGGCTGAATGGAACGTCCTCTAATAGCAACCTTTGCCCGGAATGCCGTGTTCAGTTCAGCGAGCAGCGTAGACCGGTACGACCAGTTCAACCGGCATCAGTGTCGTCCTCAGAATCTGGTAGTACGTGGCTTGTGTCCACCAGCGACGACTTTGAAGCTGAAGAAGAGCGAAGCCTTGAGCCGATTTCCCAGCAAAATCGAGCTGATGGCGATGCCCTGAACGGGATGGAAGAGACCTCAGCTCACCGAGATACAGCAGCTCAATCCGCCACGTCAGAAGGACCATCTCTGGAACACATGACCCTTCCGCAGAGATTCATAGTGTACGAAGGCGATGCGAACCTGGGGGATAATGATGAGGAAGAGGACAACGACCACGAAGACCTCAACGACTCTCACGACACCTCCTCTTCTTCTACTTCATCCCCAGATGCCGGACTCGGCGATCCGCAAGAAAACGTATCCGTTCCCGCAAATACTAGGCGGCAGAACCGTATTCTTAGCATTGATTACAGTGCGACTTGGGACGGACGCGCATTCTCAGACGAACCAGACGACGAGAATGAAGAAGGGCTTGGCGAAATAATACACGATTATGATTATGACAGGTTGATCTAGTCGCATGATAATTAGGACGAGGCACCTGGCCGGTATGTGGATGTAAGTCGAAGAAGATGGAGACATCGGACATGACGACTGGGGTGACATCAGGAGCGAGAATGATGCAAGGAAATGATCATGCCAACGACGTGGGTAGAGTTTCATAGCACCTCCTTCGAAGGAAAATTGGATCTCTAGAGCCTACGTTGACGTTGGGTCGCCTATTTTACATGTCATCATTCTAGTGTAGGCTGCAGACCTGTTTAGCTCTTTTCTTGTACGTGGTGATTAGCTGATGAAACCAACGCCTGACACCTGGGCCTGCCCCAGGTGTTGCATTTATTCTTAATTCTTTGATGGTGTGCAACAGATGGTGCAACAGCATGTGTTGTACATCGTCTTCGCGCCTACTTGATAACTAACGGCTTAGCACCAACTTTCTCCGCCTCCGCGTTCAGCGCATCAACTTCCGCCTGCACCAAAGGAATGCCCGTCTTCTCTCGTTCCTGCTGTTGCAACTGCTCAAGCTCGCCTGGGAAGTAGATCCTCTCCACACCCGCTGCCTTCTCAGCACCCGTGACCCTATCATACAAGATCTGCATCCTCTCCCTGAAGTCCTCCAAGCTCATGAAGAGGTCTGGCTTCACTGCGACGAGGAAGTGACCAACGTCTGAGGGTCTGGAGGGGTCGTATGGATTTGTAACGTCGCCTGCGAATGCTGAGCCGGAGAGTACACCGGAGAAAACGTCCATCATGACAGCCAGACCCGAACCTTTTGGCCCTCCCATAGGCAACATGACACCGCCGTCGAGTGCCGCTTCTGGGTCGTCCGTTGGCTTTCCGTCTTTGTCCAGCGCCCAATCCAGAGGTATCTTCTCACCCCTCCTCTTCGCCTTATAGATCTTTCCTCTTGCTGCAATCGACGGCGCCATGTCCAGAACGAACGGTTGGTCTTCTCCTGGAGCACCACATGCTATCGGCGAGACACCTAGCAGCTTACTCTTGCCGCCCCAAGCCGGTAGCGCAGGGCTCGAATTGGTAAACACCAAACTCATCATATCGGCATCCAGCGCCTTCTGTACGACCCAAGCACTCATACCAAAGTGATTCGAATGCTTGATGCTTGCCATCCCAATACCATACGTCTTTGCAGATTCGATGCAAGCAGCCATGCCGGCGTCTGCGGCAAGAAAGCCGAAGCCATTGTTGGCGTCGACTTGGGTAACAACTGGCGTTACTTGGGTGATGGTTGGTGTTGCCGCACTGTTCAAAACGCCTTGTCGTACGCGCTCCATGTATGACGGGATTCTGTTCATGCCGTGAGTGTCGACGCCACGAAGGTCGGCTGCTATGAGGCATTTGGCAACGATACTCGCGTTCTCAGGCGCGACGCCATTACCGACCAGAATTGAGGTTACGAAAGATCGTGCATCTTCAGCGTTGACGTAAAGTTTCTTGTCTGCTGGAGGTTCTGTCATGTTTGTATTGGATGTTGAGGGTTGAGCTGCCTAGGTGAGGAAGGAACGAAGAACTGCTTGGTATGCTTATCCCGTATCTTATATGGTTCTACCAGCGGAATAGTGAGTCACGGTTTTCGGAAAAGCATCTGGTCACTAACGCGTTCTGTTGGGATGTGGAGATAGCTAGGGGGTGTGTCTGAGTCAGCGGAGGTGGACTAGTGAAGACGGGCTTCCCCGCTGTTCCCCGCAATCCTCAGTCGAACTTCATAAACCTCAGGATGGAAGACATCAAGCTTGCATCAAGCTCAGACTCCTGCGCGTACGAACCGAATTTGCCGAGAGATAGCATTTAAGCATTGCGAACAAGTCGCAACTGACTTCCTGCTAACTGCTGATTGGACGCAGGGGAGCAATGGCCAAAAATGAACCGTGATAGCCTCAATCAGTGAGCGATACTCCGAGCAGATTGTGGTGTTCAAGCTGTCGACGATGGTTGAGTTATAAGTTTCGCAGTGACCCCGTTCTTTCCTGTTTCGTCTCCTCATTGTCTCGGCAACAAACAAGACCAGGACTGTTTCGGCGCCACTCATCACTCATGAGTCCCTTTTAGAGCTTTAATCCCTATTGAAAATTAGAAAGAAGGAATAGAGCTCTACCTGGTGAGGACGAAGTCGTCGAAATCACTGGACGCGACCACTGCGACTTCCTCTTTCCCCGCCAAGCCCCACGTGCTTGCTCGCAACCTAGGAAGCGCGGGTAGCTGCACTCACATCTCACCTCTTGTCGTCTCAATTCACTGAACCCCCTACCGAAATCCCACAAAACTCTCGATATTCGCGAACATGGACGACGAAGGCCCTAAATGGCGTCTCGGTATGTTTCGCCGCATCTCCTTCACAAACTCTTGGCTAACAGCTTTTAGAGCAGGCGAGTACTGGCCGCGCAACTTGTAGTCAGGCCGCCTGCAAGCGCAGCCAGATCAAGATCGCGAAAGGAGAGCTACGTATCGGTACTCACACGCTGTTTGAGCCAGAGGCTAGATGGTACATGGCCTGGCGTCACTGGTGAGTCTACCTCCGTCTGGAGCCTCCTGCGCCTACTGTGTGTGTACTGATACAGCAAGGGGCTGTGCGACCAAGCACCAGATCGCGGGCTTGAAGGAGACTACCGGCAACGACCCGACAAAGGCACCTGGCTACGACCGACTCAGCCCAGAGAGCCAAGAGCAAGTACGCCTAGCTTTTGAGGGTCAGCC